TTTTTCAGACCAGTCTCAAAGGGTTTGTGCACAGGGTGTCAAGTGATGTCCAGGTGGGGTATGGAATCTTTCCGCTTTTTTACCCACAGACATTGTTGTCATGTGATGTGCACACGCGCAGTTGTGACTCAGATGGGGCTTACATTATGTACTGAGACTGGGTAATCGTCATCTTCAGGACACCTCTATTTTTAACAAGTTCCGGTTAAAGCTACAGTCCATCATTTGTAATTTGTGCATTTTGGTCGTTTGAAGCAACAAGAGAGTTTCAAAATCTAATGAAGGATACTGAGCAATTAACCTGATGAAGTTTGAGCTAAGCTTCAGCTGTACATTCCGAGAAAAACAACATTCTTAGATCTCAATTTCAAATCAAAAGTTACTGAATCATGTTTTGAATTGCAAGCTATACGCGACGTCCCGCACTGATCCGACGAATTACAACAAACCGCGCGCGCGTGTCTTTGTTCCAATCCTTGTGCGCGCTGCGCTGAATAACAAAACGAACTACTAATTTAAATTTCCTACGGTGCTTCTTAGATCACCGTTGGAAATGCCTTCTTTCGTTGATTACTTCAAATGACAGCTTCCCAGAAAGAATAAATTCACAGGAGTTTAGTTCCCTTACTATCTTTCAACCAAGTTTGTTTTTCAATAATAATTACGCAGTTACTTTTCGGATGGCTGCAAAAATGATGGACTCTAGCTTTAAAATGACTGTTCAGCACAAAGTGACTTTTGCAGGGCAGTCTTTGTCTTCAGATTTTACTCATATTTGTTGGAATTTTGAAACACACTTTCAAAGAAAATGTGTCACTTTCCCCATTTTTTTGCATTCAAAGACGAAGTGCACGTTGTACTTCTTACAAACACGTGTGCATGCCAGACAGAATGAAAGCTTAGCCCGATGCTGATTGCTGATAACAACATGTTAAACAAAAAATAATTTTATCCAGCCAATCAGCATAATCAGCATCATTCCTTCATTGCATCGAGTTTCACTGTCGCCATCTTGGTTTTTGAGCCTGTTTCTGGTTGTCTTCGTCATTGACCCCATAATTTCCCAATAAATCAAAGACATCATGCCCTCTTTCCACAACATAATAAACAAAACATTCAAGAAGGTGTCATCCCTCATAGCTGTTCAAATGTCTAGCCCCATAAATGTGGCCAATTTACCGGACTACCTCCGTAAATAAAGTCCACACTTGGTACATGTACCTGACAATGTAAAATTTTGTCTAGTTTCTATTGTTCACATTTAGACTTTGTAGTTTATTAGTCCCATAAATGTGACGGTGTACTGGTCTACCTCCCTATTAACCAGAGTAGGAAGTCCAGTATTACTGTCACATTTATGGGACTAACCTTCACATGCAGCTAGCACGCACTACGCATGATGGGCACCGGAAGTTAGTTTGTGTGACGCGTTCTACATGTACGTCACAGGTCACGCAAATCTATCCAATGAGAGCTCAAATGACGTCAGCCCTGACAAGCGTTCTGTTTGCAGGGAGGGGGGTGGGGGTACAAGCGAAGGTACTATGTTTTATTTTTAAGTCCCAGAAAATGTCACTGCGTATGTTCAGTGCCTATCCGGCAAAATATCGTTCGCTTAAAGAAAGCCAGTGCCGGCTAAATATACTCCACATGCCATATTTGAATGTCAATAAAAAAGACAGTCTGATTAAAATTCATGTTTTTATCCATGCCCAGCATGCATTGCAAATGCAGGCGCGGATCCAGGGGGGGATTGTAGGGGTCAACCACCCCCCCCCCCAGCTAGCTCTGCCCCCCAAAAAATTGCCATACAAATTCCTAAAAAATAAGTCACCCCCCCCCCCCCCCCCCCCCCACTGTGACACCCATATGGAGAACAATGGAGCATTTGCTCACTCGACACTAGTGAAGCTCTGTCTACGTGGGAAGACTGGCTACTAGTAGGCACTTTGAGCAAACTTTTGTTAATATGCGGAAAGTATGATTGTTAAACTTACCTCCTTGTATCGCATCACCAAATACAGATTTTCCTCTTTCACATGAATATAACTTCTTCATGATTAAAGGCGAATAATGTGCACTTTTTCATTGAAAAACAGGCAACTAAGTGGAAATTTCACGTTTCCTATGGAGGTCACGGCACAATTCCCCGATTTTTAGGGTGCTGGTTTACATCTTCGAACAGCACACGTGTGAACCCGGTCGCATACAATTACCTCGCATGCAGTGGCGTAGCCACAGGGGCCGTAGGGGGCTGTTCAGCCCCCCCCCCCCCCCATGAAACCTTGTCGGCCCCAAGTTGCCCCCCCCCCCCCACTGAGATTTTGAGTTTCTAAAAAAATTATCATTGATCTACATGACGCCTCCCATAAAATGTCCCAGCCCCCCAGCGCCCCCCCCCCCCCCTGAAAATTCCTGGCTACGCCACTGCTCGCACGGCTTCTGAAAGATAACACAATAAGCTAATTCCATTCATGTAACAAACTTTTGATTGGTTGAGAAGAACAAGGGGCACTTTTCTTGTCAAATCAGACATCGCTTTTGTTCTGAGGATAGACGGCTCCTTATGTATAGTCCAGTCTACGCAGTTGGCTGTGCAAGGTCGCCGGGTAAATGCACCGTTGTGCGTGCAGGGCTTTGATTTTCTGCACAGGTGGCAAAGTTCTCCATACGCAAAAAAATTATAACTTCAGAAGAATCTACAGTAGTTCAATCACTTACACCTAGCTTTCCAAGGCCAAATAGTAAACTTTTCAGGCAAAAATTGGCAAACTTACTTTCACTGTTGTGACGTTTTTTTCGAAAGTCCTCCACGTCGTGCCCCGCCAATTTAAGAACGCGCAACGAACCACGTGAGATTGGTTTGTGAACAAATCCCTGGTCCCTGTACTATTGCAATGATTTCAGAAGCATTGGGAAGTGCGAACCAGTTATTTCTGCGGCGCCTTACTCACCAATGAAAACTACCAGGCACATTTTGTGCTGGGGTAGTTTCAGGTTTTTTAGCTTGGGGAAAAGTCGTTTTTATTCTAATTCACAATGTTTGCGTACCATCTTTGTCAGTTCTCACAATTTTTATATAAAACAATATTGGAGACCTGTATCTCAGAAAAGATAGTCTTCAAATTCAATAGTTTGCTAAAAAGAAATTTTATTTTGAACTGAGTTCCCTTCATTAATTTGGTATAGACCTTGTGGAATGTATATGCAAATTTGTACCGTGCAATTTTTTTTTCATCAAGCGATAACTGCCCCTCCCCCCCCCCGCAACGCCCATTTAGAAATTTTTAGAGTGCCGCGACTTCTATATTCCTCTATTTTTAATAATATTCCTCTGTTAAATATTTAATATTTAATATTTGATATTCCTCTATTTAATAAATGTAGCCATAGAGGGCGGGCTTTCGATTAGTGCGGTGAAATTAACTTGTCTATCACTGATAAACCCACCAGGGACGGATCCAGGAATTTTACCAGTATATTATTACCAGTATAATTTATTTGGGGTGTCACAGCGGGGGGGGGGGGGGGGGGGGGGGGGGGGGGGGGATATCATTAATTTAAATGAGTTTCTATGAAAAAAAAAATTGACAAAGCTGGGGGGCGTTTTGACCCCCCCCCCCCCGAATCCATGCCTGCCCACCTCCAACCCATAAACAATGTAGACAGCTTAATTTAATTTTACAAAAACATTTTTTAGGGAATATCGAAGGGAAGTGAAACAAAAAGTGCGTTTTGTTCTTAAAGTAGAGTTGTTTATTGGTAGTGGGGCCTACACTATTATCATTAATTCATGAAAGGGGATGAATTGAAGAGGGGGTGTTAATAGGTAAAGTTCTATTTTTTGGTGTTCATTGGGTGCTAGAAAAATATTTTAAAAAGGCTTTTTGTTTTCAAATGAGTCACCGTGGTGTCGCTAAGCCCACAACAGCAAAACGCAACAGGTCCACAACAAAACAATGTAATCAAACAATGATTAATTCAAGACAACTGCAACTTATTTGAAGTTGTCTTGAATTAATCAAAGAAGCTATTGTCTTGCAGACCGAAGTGGGGCCACCAGAAATGCCTTGAAGATTAATCCACCATGGAACAAGTGAAGACGACTGTTTTAATGCGAAATTGTAGTCTATTCATCCCCGTTGCCACTTTATAATACAAAGAAAGAAAAGAAAGGAAACACTGCACCCCTCCCATAAAATGCAATCTAGCCCCGCCCCTCCACATAAGGAATTGGCAACAACTGGCCTGTCGGTTACCACTTTCTGAATCCCCCAACAATAAATGCTTCTGGATCCATCAGCGATTTAGCTGTGTAATCATATTTTTAATTGCATGAAGTAAATTGGGTTGATATATTTTTTAAGGAATTTCTTTTGCTATCCTCATTATGAAGCCTGCATGCCTGATTACAAAACCCAAGTGGTGACCCAGCTGTAGAATTCAGAGGCGGGAGATTGGTCCATCACTGAAGGAGGAATGGAGGCATAACACAACAATCATCTAACCTCAAAGATTTCTCCTTGATTGACTCAAGTCATTGTATGCAATGATTTATTACACGAAAATAATCTTACAAAGTACACAGTGTCAAATAATAATCCCGGACGTCTTAAACTTTGCCCAAAATATCTGGAAAAACACAAGAAGAGATCAGAAATGTTTCGCACCAATAACAAATAATACAAATGACTTACAAATTCCAACATATCTCTACTCATAGTTAACCAATAAACTTACTTCCCCCAACGGTGCAAATATCAGATATTAAATTTTTATTTTCAAGTTAAGACAAGATAAGTTTGCGGTAGCACCATGTGAATAAATCTCTTTTGTGAGTATATGTGTGGTTCTGAAAAGAACCGGAGGGACTCAACGTCTCGAACAGTATGCTCTGCCCGTCGTCAGAAGAATGAGGGATTCCAACGATGATGCGATGTTATAAGGATGGGTGCAGTGAGGCATGAGAAGGATGCAAACTGGTGAAGCTCGAAACCGGTGAAGCTGAGGATGCAAGTTGACTGATTTATTCACATGGTGCTACCACAAACTTATCTTGTCTAAGTATCTTTCCACCATGCAAACCTTCAAATCTTATTTTCAAGTTAAATAAACAAATTGACTGTAGTTCTCCTTTGTGGTTTGTTTTTATGACAGAAACCAAACAATCCAGAAGTCAGCAGATTATTTTGACTTGGAGTTTGTGCCCAAGTGATGACATTATCTTACAGAGTTGCACATTAATGATCACAAGATAAAAATCACAATTATGTAGTTTGTAAACAATGGCTTAAAGGCATAGGAACATTTGTATTTCACGTAGTTCCACAGAAGAATACTCTAAACCTAACATGTTGAAGCTTTGGATATTACACTTTTAAAAAAAGAGTGAAATAACCATGCACACATTTTTGATTTCGTCCACAGAACTCTTAAAACCAGTCAATTGACTGATCATTGGAAATCACCTACGCTTCTCGATTTCTTCGCAATGACAGCAAGCCAGATGGAATAATTTCACAGGGTGTTTAGTACCAGTACGATCTTTAATCCAAGTGAGCTTTTTGATTACAATTCGGTAGGTTACTTTTGGGATAAATGCAAATGATCCCATCCCATATCCCTTGAAATGTGTAAATCAATGAGTACAAAAATCCCCATCATTTAAAATTGCAATCAGTTCGGCTTTGCAAATACAGTGTTTAAATCTCATTTTAATCAAAATCTTCTTTCATGTGTCATGCCAGCAACAACAGTTAAACATTATTTACATTCAGTTTACATTTCCAATGTGAATAAATCAAAATGTTGATTCAAAGTCTACCTTTTCTCTCCTGCAGAACTGCTTTTACCAAAATGAACGGTTCCATTTGGGCATGTTATAAACGACTGTTATCACCTGGGCAACTGAAAAATATCAAAACTGTTTGAAACAAAAATGTCAGTTTTTGAACAGAATGTTGATCATACTTGGAACAAACAAATCTAGTGTCGATCAATACTTTGAAGAGGCTTGCAATGATAAAAACAAGCAAATTGTTCACTTGTACCTATTTTTACATAATCAGAAACACAGAAAAATGTTCGCGTATACAACAATTCCAAGATTGGTCCTGAATGAGCAAACATGACTTTCCTCTGATAAAAATGCGTCATTGGGCAATGCAACATTCTACATGTATATATTATACATGAATTGTTTGACAGTACGAACACTGGTTTAGTATAGTACCTCTCAATATGGACATAGGCCTATAGTTGAATAGTAAACAAAATCCACGTTATACTGTCCTTACACAAAACAGTCAAGGTTAAAGATCTATACAAAAGTTAGCAAACTGGAATCATAATTTTTGCCATTTTATGCATAATTTACATTAATTTACACAAACGATTTGATAATGAATGAAGCACAATCACTCAAAAGAAACGTCTGTTTGGGCACGTGAACTTGTAAGGATTTTGTAATTTGTACAAAGCTGATGAGGCAAATTCTTTTTAGCAAAACTACGTCTCTTTTTCAGGGTTTAATTTTTTGTATCATTCTGTACACTAAATTTTGCACAGCACTGGTCTATGGAAGGGTGTTGTGCAGCCATTTGCATGTGGTCACATTAGTTTGTTGGAATGCCATATTACTACATTGATAAGGTAACAGGGTAGGAGGCCTTTGTCACAAAAGTTGAAGACATCTCACACAACTTTCACCTAAGATGATGCAATACAAGATAATTTCTCAAAAGAAATGGAAAGGAGAGGTGGATTTTCCTGTTTAATTGACGATTAGATTGTGGATTTATAATAGTATTCAGAGGTCACCCAAGATACAAGGTCAATTTAATATCACTTTCAAGTGTCACACAGAATGCTTAGTACAGTGCTAATATGTTTGAAGATTTCAATGAATCATTTTGTACAGGAATTGGTGATTGTCTTTTCACATTGTCTTTTGATTGATTAATTAATTGATGGAATAATTTTTTTTGGGAGGGGTTGGGGTTCAGTAGAATGAAGAACTATGCTTGGTATATTTGTATTCATAATGTATGAGGATTCTGAATACATCTATTTGTATTGAAACCTTTTTGTTGACTTTTCTATTCATTATCGAGCCTCTTATTGCCCTCTGAAAATAAAGTTTTGTTGTTATTGATTGCTGTTATTTTTTTATTTGTTTTTAACTTATTGGGTTTTTTTGGGGGGGAGGGGAGGGGGTTGCAGAGCATTGATTTTACATAAAATGACCCATGATACGTGCTACTTTGTGAACGTGGTGCATTCATAGGGCACAGGGTGGGAGTTATGACTTGGTGGTAGATTATTTAGGCTCGGAAATCTCCCTCTGCTGTTTCCTTCAGGTGAGGGAGGCCTTGACTGACAACTTGTCTGATGAGCTGAGCATCGAGGCCGATGTTATGAAGTCCCAACCGACATAACTTTGGGAAACCTTGGAGATGACCGATGAGAGCCCTCACTGCATCCAAACTGAATGCACTGTCATCAAGGGTAAGCCCTATTAAACCACGCCCAGCAGGAAGGATGCTGATCAGGTCCTTCACATCATCATCGACCAACCTGCACTTTTCGAGGTGCAAGGTGCCAATGGCTGGCAAGATATGGACATCTCGCAACTGTCCATGCAGGTTGATACTATGCAGGTAGAGATAATTAAACCTGCATTCTTCCAGTACCTGCAACACATCAACAACCTCCTCTGGTCTTACTTTTATCATGGACAAACTAGGCATGATTTTTTCTTGCATGCGCAAAAAGCTGTGCGATGCAGGCCCCATGTCAAACAACGACTTTTCCCCAATGTAAAACATAATGTGTAATTGAGCACGGCGCTCTTCTTTCCTCACACCAATTGTTTTCTCTAGGGGACTGAAATCCTCCTTCTCCTCCTCAGACAACATGTAGTGAACAAATATCATCTTAGCCGACTCCATGCTGTCACTCAGAAGAATTTCCCTGAAAAGGTTAAGATCCTGCTTTCTTACATGCATGTAAAAGCCTGTATTTTTAAGTGGTGGAGTGACACGCTTTAAGTAGTAGCTCAGTGATTTCAGGTCTGCATTACTCTCACACTCTACCCTAGTTGGTCTGACAAGTTTGGTAGCCAACTCTTTTGAACCAGATTCACACAATATCAACCGAGCCAATCTCTGCAGCTTCATCTCATCACCTTGCATCTCTTGTATGTGATCCAGAATGAGACCAGCAGCCTGCATGGATCTACCACAACAAAATCTCAGCAGGTATTCCATCGCAAAAACATTTCCTTCTCCAATCTGCTCCAACTGATGACGGAAATTGTTTTCGTCATCTTGTTGTAGCAATTTCACCAGGTGACATGCTGCAAAGTATTCTTGGATGGACTTGTGGGGGAAAGTGACCAGCACTTTTACATCCAGACCACTCGTGAACGTTTCACGTAGAACGAAACCCACACGACAACCCTCAGCTAAGCAAGACGGACAATCCTGAAATTCAGTTTCATTGAACATGAGTCTTTCCCCTCTAGAGTCTAGTAACCCTTGTAATGCAACACGCCCCAAGTCATCAATGATGGGCATCAAGTTTAACATCACCTGATCATCATTCATATCTTTATTGCAGCGCTTGAAAAGAACAACCGCAAACTTTTCGTACAGCTTGGTAATTCTCTCAGGCAATGACTTTTCATTCTTCCAAACAAGGCACAACATCTGGGAAATGATTGGAATTACAGCCATCTCCTTGAGATTTGCATTGTCCTCTAGATGTGAAATCAATGCCTCTCCCATGTCAGAATCATCAGAAAGGTTTAATCTGATATATTGATCTCTGTCTTGTGGTCTGAAGCCACATGTTTCAACCACTGCGTACGGGTTGCTACCCTCCAATACATATTCCATCATGTGTGGTCGAGTAGTTACCAACACAAAACTTTTTGTAAGGACTCTGCTGTGTAAGATATCTTGAACCCTGTACACGCCCTCCTTAGATTGCAAAACATGAGACGGAATTTCATCTAATCCATCCAACAGCAAAGCAATGCGTGATTGCTTACCATCAATGATACGTTGCACTGTTGTTTTGTCCAGTTTTGTGTCAATTGGTAGAATTTGGTCAAATATGGCATCCAAGACACTGTTTGATTGCATTTGCCTCAGCTTAATCCAAAGCACAAGATCGAATCTACCGAGAAGGGGTTCTGAACTGAGTGTGATGCAGGAGTTTACAACTTTCACTAACAGGGTTGTTTTACCCGTCCCGGCCCCACCATAAAGAAGAATCTTGATTTCCTTAACTATTTTCTGATTGAACAAATCATCAACGGATTTGAGAATTATCTTTTGTGCTTCATCCAAAAATATGTTTTGTTTTAGTAATGTGACCAACCTCTCTGATTTCGTTTTGCCTGAAATGTTCTTTCTGAGATTCAGTGGAATAAAGAATTCCTCAATACCCACATTACGTGACTGCAGTGTAGGATGTGCAGGAATAGTTGTTGCAGTTTGCTCATAGTTGTCAATAATTTCCTGTTGCAAATCCTCAAAGGTACCCGATTCCTGGAGTCCGGTGGTTTCTGAAAGAAATCATGAAATTATAATAAGTAACTGATTTGAGAACTGATAAACATGATTCCTTACAATCATTCTTTCAAGCTGCATTAACCCTCTCTACTAATGACGTATGAGTAAACTATTCATTAAGTATACATGAACATGATTCATAACAATTCTCTCAAGCTGCAATTCAACAAATCCGAACAATGTGCATGTCCATTTTTCAACATATTATTTGTTTCTGCAGGCAGCAATTTTTTTTAACTTCATCCATAATGTACTCAATTGGTTAAAGTTTCCAATTACGTGCAGTAAAATGTACACTTGGAAATGTTGCGTGAGGATTGTATCCAAAGTTTGCTTCCAAGCGTGCGTCCCTGAGATCATGATATTGATAAAAGCAGGAAGAAGTTTCGTCTTCAGGGTGTGGACCCACTGATTAGTCCTCAGTGCCTGTTAATTCCAGGGTATATCTAAGGATGCATATAGGACCTACATGTACCTTTCTCAACAGCACCCCCATCCCCCCCCCCAAAAAAAAAAGAGGGCAATGCAAGCTGAACAATACCAAACACGACCAGATTAAAATTTGTTTATCAAAGACTTTATTCTACAGTAAAATGTAGGTTAAGTAAGTTGCGTATGAACACTTTGAGTTAATTACATTTGTCTTTGAATATAGTAATGTCACTTAAATGTGGTGGGTAGGTACGTGTACATGTAGATAGTGCTACTAATTTGCAAATTACAAAAGTGACGTCATGATGACCTCATCACCTAATTCTTTTAATTAATTTTCGAAACCTTTCACATGTTCTTCTGCTAGCAAAATTTGACATAAAATGCAATCAGATTGACATCAAACTACGTACAGGTTGGCCCTAGACAAGTGATGTCATGATGACGTCATCAATGGTCTTATGATGTCACCTTAAAGTTGTCTATTTTACAATTTTTTATCTAGAGAACGTAAGTCCAATTGGGTTGGAACTTTGTATGTTCATGTACATATACAGGTACAGGCACGTGTTAACAGATTAAAACTTGGGGACGTCATGATGACATCATCATGGGTCCAAATACGTTATCCTAAAGGTGCATATTTTAAAGCCCTATATATCTGGAGAACTACAAGAACAGTTAAATAAGTCATGAAACTATGTTCACTACATACATGTGCTAAAACAGTATACCACCCTCCCCCTGCCCCCCCCCCAATACATTAACACTTGATTTAAGATATCTACTTCATCGCATCAAATAAGATTATATTTACCTGGTCCCTCTGACAGCTTGTTGTAAATGATATTTACTTCATTTGAACCAACAATGACAGGGTTCTGGCTACCGCTGATGCTTCCTATGATGGCTTCACTTCTTTGTGGGTAATCTACAATCAAAAGCAAGAATTAAAATATCCTTCAATTCAATTCAATTAAATAATTAGGGAATAACAGTGTGAGCACCCGGTCTTCACTTTTGTGTGACTTTTCTTTTGGCGATATTTCCAAACTTTTTGTGTGTTCATGTTTACATACTCCTTGTTTCCAAAATTACAAAGATGCTCGATTTAGAAACAGTAAATATGTCCCTGTGAGGCGTGTTTACAGAAAATAAATCACATATCCATGCTTTCGTTGTAAACATCCTTAGTATGAACATGTCGTGTTAAGACTTATAACGCGCCCGCAGGCCCCGCATAACAACTACATGTATAGAATGCATACACGCACGGAAGTCTTCACACGATGGTGGTTGAGAGCACGTGTACTGATGTATTATAAAAAGTTACCGAAGGACTGTTGTTTATTTGGTCAATCATGGCTTACATGATGCTGGATCAACGCTGGTTCAGGGGCCATTTATTCACTTGTTTTTGAAGCCTGTCTTTATATCACATGTTAATACACCCCCACGTGATCGAGTCTCGACCAATCAGAAGCTATCAACTCTCCAAGGCATTTATTAATGGTTGATTAAAAACATGTCTGACAGTTAAAAATCGGAAATTTGTACATGTGAACATAATATATGATTTTCAAAAAACAATTATACCAAAACATAATATTACTAAAAACCAAACATTAAAATACTTACATTAAAAATAAAAATACTTTAAAAATGTGCGCAAACCATGTAGCCCTACTTTAAAGGGTTTTTTTAAGAACCAAAAGTTCAATTCAGTTTGTTTATACCGGTATTTAGCCTGTTTACAGATACAAAGAACATTTTTTTCCTTAAAACGATGTTGCATTCGGGTGACGTTATTATCAGATTTGTCTTTCAATTCATAATGTTTTGCAGGCCAAATTTGTGCACCAACAGTTTATTTTCCAAAAATTGTGCTCGAAAAAATCATGAAATTTGCTCTTTGTTGTCAACATCATAATATAGTGTGCTTTGATAATATCCTACTGTTGGCTCTCAGGTACATGTATGTGAAAAACACCATATTTAGGGGTTTTTAAAATATTGTTCAGAGGATGGAATTTGCATGTAAATCAATTTGGTGATGTAAATCAATATTGTGTTTTTGCTCTTTACAGACGTCAGGCGCAGATCCAGGATTTTTTTAGATGGGGGGCACAACTTCGGAGAATTTGCTCCAAGAACTTATACGAGCGTGAAGCCCCTGAAAATTTGTGATTCTAGATGCTCTGTGGTGCAATCTGAGGCGATTCCTGGCCCCTTTACCCCTGAATTCTTTGAGCAAAAGCTTTTAAGATTTTAAGAAGTTACTGTGTACTTCAAAATTGTAAACCATGTATTTTCGTATTCATATTTCTTGCATTGTATTTTGGAAAAAGAATCGAATTGACTTAGTTTGTAAACTGTTGCAACAATGCGTTGGGGCATTTGCACCGAGGACTAATGAGAGCGCGGAGCACAAATGCCTTACGGTGTGGGGTCAGGGGCCCGCTAATAAAGGGCCGCGGGAAATTTTGGATTCAAGATGCTCTGTGGTGCAAATCTGAGGCAATTCCTGGCCCCCTTTTCCCCTATAGCCCTGGGTTAAGTGTAAAATGTTTTAAGATACTTCGGATTTTTTTCACTTTCATTTCGGTTTGCGGTAACACATGTAACATGTAACACATACTCTTGTATTTATAGCCTTTTAAGATTCTTCTGTTCTTCACTTGATAACCATGCATTTCCGTCTGCATATTTATTTTCGTGCATTTTATTTATGAAAAGGAATTGGATAGGCTTATAGTTTGTAAACTGTTGAAAGGATGCGAATAGGGGCTTCTGCCCGAGGACTACTGCGAGCGCGAAGGGCAAATGTCTTACGGCGTGGGGTCCGCGGCCGACGGCGTGGGGTCGGGGCCGGCTTAAGGGCACCGGGAAATTTTTGGATTCTAGATGCTCTGTTGTTTAAAATACACTGTTGCTTTTACAAGCCTTTTAAGTTTTTTCTGTTCTGCACTTGATAATCATGGATTTTTGTCTGCATAATTATTTTCATGCAATTTACTTTTGAAAAGGAATAACTGTATAGACTTCGTTTGTAAACTGATTAAGGATGCTTTCTAATGTTTTGTTTCAAGTTTAAATTGTCAGTGTATCAATAAGAACAAACCGCTTGAACATGTACATGTACATTGAGTTCAAGTTTAAAATTTGTGTAATTTAATCAAACTACCAGTAAAACAGGGGAGTAATTAGGCCTCCATGCACACTGGAACTTCACAGATCTCAATGAAAAGTGAAAAGTCCCATTCGATCCCAAGAGCTCCCCTCTCTGGGCTGACAGGGGGCTGGTCGGCAGTGTGGTCCCCCTTGTTTCAGGGACACTGCAATGCTATATATTGTGCCTAATAGCATCAATGCAAAGGATGGAGGGGAAGGATGCTGTCACTGGGAACCGATATCAGGGCCAGGGGAGTTATAACATGCAGGGTTTACAGACAAATGTTTGTGTCTCACCTGGTCTTGGCTGTAGTTGCGGCGGAGGTTGTTGCGTTGGTTCCTGCTGGGAAGGCTGTCCACTGCCAGACTGAGTCGTTTGTTGATCATCTGGTAGTTGTTGGGTCAGAGCTGCTTGACTGTCTGTTACTGTGGTTACGGTAAGAGCAACCCACAAACCAAATTTGAAGTTCCTAAGTAAAGTATTTCTCAAGCATTCATGCTGACAATACAGCAATTAGTGATCTTGACCTAGCTGTCGGCCCCAAAAGCAACAGGCCTCTTAAGATTATCAAGAACAACAGACAACCCACAAACCAAATTTAAAGCTCCTATGTAATTATTCTCAAGTTATCGCATTGACAAGATTTCTATTGTTTTAGCAATAGTGACCTTGACCTTTGACCTGTCGGTCCCAAAAGCAATAGGCTTCTTAAGAGTACCAAAAACAACCCACGAACCAAATTTCAAGTTCTTTAATAAGTAAAGTATTTCTCAAGTTAACTCGTTGACAAGATTTCTTTTGTTTTAGCAATAGTAACCTTGACCTTTGACCTGTTGGCCCCAAAATTAATAGGCCTATTAAGACTATCCAGAACAATCCACAAACGAAATGTCAAGTTCCTAAGTAAAGTATTTATCAAGTTATCGTGCTGAACAAGTAGGCCATGGATCAGCCTTGGTCAAAAATTTTGGCAACCGGTATCAAATGAGGGTAATAATCGTCATAGCAATTTTTGGCAAGGTATACACCTCCATAGTTGGCAAGGTATACACCTCCATAGTTGGAAAATATGTGACAGCATTGCAGCAGTGCAGCTTTTAATTATTACCCTTTTTCTCAAAATGTCCATCAAAATGCTTGTTACCACTCTAGGGGCGGTATGCCTTGCGCATGCCAACTATAATCAATTATGCCCTGATTTGATACCGACCAAACCCCCATGCTGATGGCCGAAAGGGTTAACGGGGTGTAAATTGAGGATTTTCTTTTGTTCCTCTTCCCTTTTCCTTTGTTTGTACTTTGCAACAGCTCTCATTGGTTTGTACACATTTTCCAACCAAGGAGTCCTCGATTCGGTTTCTGTCCTCGATTCATTGATAATGTTGCGTGTGTCCTTGACTTACACCATATACAAAATAATGCAGTGAAACAGACCAGCAGCCGATTTCACAAAATCTTACGAATTGGCGCAACTCTGCTTGAGCCAAAATTTATTGTGTAAGTTGCGCAACATGACCCATTTCACAAAAGTCACATAGTGCGTAAGTCCACAAGTTGCGCAATAAATTATGATGTTACTTGCACCATCATTTTAGACGGCATAAGTTGTGTCGTAACGACTGAAAATGACATATTTTACCAGCATATCAGGAGTGTCACAGAGCTTGTTATTGCACAACTTATCAAGGTTGATACAAGACGGACAAAATAATTTTCAAAATGGCGGGCTGAGGTGATCCAACGACTGTTTTGCGAACGAAAAAATTCACACACAAACAGCCGTGGTAAATGCTGCTTTTATCCTCGTCCAAGATGCTTAAATTATTTAAAGCATTGTGAAGCTGCGCCAAGCTTTGTGAAATCGATCGTAACTTTATTGCGCAGCTGGGCAACAAATTTGTTGCCTAAGTCTTACTCATGGCACAAGCTGCGCACTTTTTCATGAAATCGACTGCTGCCCACTGTCATGGCACAACCAACAAAGGGTCTATAGTTAAACCAAAATTCAAGATTATATGAAATGCTGTAAAACAAACATTTTTGGGATAAGAAACATTCAATTTACATACCTACATTTGTAATTACCTACATTTGTAATTACCTACATTGGTAATTATGGCAGAGTTTTTGCTTACCGTCACCGAGTCCGATCTCATGAACGCCCGTTGCTTTGACATCGCCCTCACTCAACAGCCTCTCAGCCTCCATATCAGACTTGGCTGCGGACTCGGCTAGATTCACTTCTGCAATGTAGCCTAGTGCAGGGGTGAGATTGTTGGAAAATGAAAAAAATCCACAAAAATTATCAGCAAATAAATGCACTGTGGATCTGCAAACATTTCAACTCATTTGAATACGTGTCCTGAATGACTTCACATTAGCTTCAGTTCGCATTCACATTCACATGTGTGATGCGATCAAACTAAATGAGTCGTTAATTGTCGGCAATTATGATTTTAAGATACAGCCCAAAATAGTTCAGTCAGGGTGAAAATTTCAAAATTGACTTTTTTGTAAAATAAGAAGGCTACATATGTCCTCTTTCATGTCAATTTTTTTTCCGGAGAAAATATCACGATAAAGTATTCAAAACGTGACATTTTTGCTAAGGAGTAACAAATTTATGTCAATAACTTGAAATAAAGCATGTTTATTGTTGTGTAATAAACACTTCAATTTTGAATCGTTTGAGTCTCTGTTTTCTTGTTTCAAATCTGCCTGTGTTCCAAGTCCCATAACTTCTGAATGGAAGGTCCTATTCACATGGGGTTTTCACCAAATATAAACTGAGATACAGCTCTATTCAATAATGTAAAAAAAAACCACAACATTTGATAAGGGCCGACAAATGACTCATTTAGTTGCATCACATGTTTTTGCATTTGGCCTGAAGACTGCTGACCCACCTGCGACTTTACTTTCGTACTTCTCGTCAATCTTGGTGATTTCTTTGTAAGTCGTAACAGCCACCTCGTAATCCTTCAGTCCCTGTTGGGCCTTGCCAAGGTGCACCAATGCCTTGACGTTGTTTGGTTCCAACTGCAAGGCAGTCCGGCAGTCCTCCATTGCCTCTGTAAACTTTCCCAATTTGTTGTAAGCCTTGGGGGGAAATAAGTGAAAAGATGGGATTCAAATTTGCCACACAGTGAACAACGAAGTGATGCGTGTCTCAATAGGATAACATGTGTGACGCCTTGAATTAATCGTCTGCCTTATGTGCAGTACTACAAAAACAAACATGCAGGATGAGTTGGCCCCCCTCCCAAAATGATATGTTTTCCTTTCTTTTTTTCCCCTTTATATGAAAAATTTTCAGGAAATAAATTAAAACGTTGCGTATCTCTCTCACAAGCCATCAGCAACGTTCATGATGTTGCGTATCTCTCACAAACCTTCACCTCCACTTGCCTCTCTCCACCCAGGAGTACACATGTAAATGCGTAAGGGTATTACTTGGGGAGCAACCTACAGTCATGACAATGGACTCATCCAGGGGGAATAGAAATATTCTCAGTCATTTCATGAATACGGAGATCTTGGCTCGTAACGGACTTGACTTGTTTACCTGTGCCCTGTTGGTGTACAGCACCACAAAGTCTTTTAGACGCTCCAGGCCCTGTGTGTAGAGCTCAACGGCTCGTGTGTAATTGCTCTTCTTGAACGCTTGGTTCCCCTGATCTTTCAGAGCCGTCGCCTCTGCTTTACGCTTCTCTGCGGGCTTGTTGGCGTCTGCTTCCAGGGCTTTCATGACATTATCTGAAAAAAAAGTTGATCACACGTTACATAAAAGGATAGAGTTTACTACAGTCATCCCGGTTAACCTTAGGGTAAAAAAAAAGTCTCCGGTTTCTGGTATGGAGCTTGCCCCAAAGTCGTGTGGCGACGCAGGTTTTTTTTTTTACCCCACTTTTTTTTTCAAATGTGGGCTGATATGTTGCAGATGACACTTCGATCCCCTTAAAACTCTCAAAAATATCCTTTAGAGTGGAGCTTGAGGTGACCTCAGTAAGGCCATAAGGCTTGGGAAGTCTGCACCCACTTACGATCTCGACTCGACCTGCCAGGCTGGTCATTAGTCTGCTCTCTTACATACTGCGATAATTGAAATGCATTTTCAGATTCCCCGAGATACACGACCATCGCTCCCTCACTCGGCTTCCAGATGCACAATAACAAAATTACAACACCGTGTGCAAATGGTGCCCAACTAAATTTAGTGCAAAATATATGCGTGCATCATCTGCACTGCTCCAGGATGTCACTGGCTCAGCCTCTACCAATTGACAGTGATTGCTGGAAGATTTGCAGGATTGAGGCATGGTCACCCCTCCAAGGACCACATTATAAAGAAATAATTGAGGATTTTGCAGGATTAAGGCTGTATGCGATTTTTACATGAAGGCAGTTGGAGGATTTTGCAGGACTGAGGTTGCATCTATACTATAATTCCAGGAATCTGTGTGTGTGTGTCTGTCTGTCTGTATTTCGATTATCTCCAGAACCGGGCATTGTATGAAGTTGAAAATCGGCGGGTGTCTTGAACGGGACACCAGAATGTGTAGTGCCAACTTTGAAGTTGTTTGGACGAGCGGTTCTCGAAAAAGCTGCAAAAGAGCAACATTTTCTGAGGCAAACGTGGCAAATTATAGCCTAGACCACCACGCACTGATGTTCTTTTCAATTGTTTACGTCATGTTTTAGGCTAAAGTGCACGTACTCAATATGACGTAAACAATGCAAAAAGGACGGGCACGCGCACGTGCATTGTAGGGCGATACCATATTGTCCAATGTGGGTGAATGGCACTGCATACCATGTTTCCGTATGTACACGTACGTGGTGGCTACACGGGCACATTAGGTGGTCGACTGAGCATCCTTACTGCAGGGCAATACCATTGTCCAGAAGGGGTAAATATCTGCGCTATTATTTTGCAGCTTTTTTGAAAACCACTAGCCTAAACAACTTCAAATTTGGCACAAACTTTGACGTGAGTGCATTCAACCTGTGAAAACATGCAACCAATACCAGCGGCAAAGAAATTTGCCCTTCCCGAACATGCACATTTTAGACGGGCACTGCACTAGTCCTAGCAAAAACCCCTAGGGAGTTAGGATTAATACAAATACTGCAAATACAAATTCTGGTTATGGGCAATTGAATGTCATGTCAGTATTATACAGAGCTTTTAAAAGCTCAGTGAATAAACCTGACAATGTATTTATCGAATCTTTTACATGTACAGCCATTACCTGGTCATGGTCAAGGAGACTAAACAGACTAGGAGTTGTGGATCATTTTTCTAAATTGTTATTTAGGTATAATGGTTTATTGGTTTTGTCACTGATATGTACCTTTCATAATGGTGAAATTGCCGTTAAAGCAAACCAAAAACCTTTGTCCCGACTGTGCATTTACATGTCTGTGTACAGTAAATACAGTGAATACTCCACTTTAGTAATTACACTTTCTGTCATAACTAATATTTTGGCCAAGTATTAACGATCAGTACACTGTACAACAGCACACACAGTAGTCTTGGCCCACGACGCTATTGATCGATAGTGGAGGATGCATATATATACCCTCCAATGTCACAACAATTAGACCGGCAGGCCTATATACATGTACTTGCACTAATTCTTAGCCATTTTGTTTCAGTGGTTTTAACTTTTTCTTTAGTGTTTTTCCCAGGCTTTCCTAAGGAATCAATCAGCGACTGAGAAAAGGTTATATGGCTCGCCCAATGGTTGTAAACGTACGCCCTGGCCTATGTGCGGTGATCGAGCACCATCACTTTATAGGGAACCAATTAGCGATTGAAAAAAATGTTTCATGGCTCACCTGACGGTTGTGGACATTCGCGCTATACGTGCGGTGATCAAGCATGGAGCTATAAAAATGACTATGATTGTTCAAATTTATACAGACAGTCTTATTTACATAAAATGGCCACGCCCCATTGCTACGAAATGACCAAGATATTGGTGAGAGAAAGTATAAAATCAATTATGCAAGTGCGCTACACAACAATGCAACTATCTCTCTTGATCACTGACATCTTGGGCCAAGACTATATACACAGGGGTTTGGCATTGGAACAATAGGCCTTTTCTCACTAGACCAAATCTCGGGGGTGGCCTGGGGCGACATGGAGGTTAAAATAAACCACGTTTCTCACTTGAAATTTTCATCCCTGCGCCACCCCCCAGCCACCCTCAAGATTGCTCATCCCGGGGGCGAGCTCACCCCTGCTTAGGACCAGAGTGGAAAAATCTTATCCCCAGGGCGAGACACTTTCCCCAGGGCAAAAACTTTAGTGTTAAACGAGAAGGGGTGAATTCGCCCCGGGGCGAGCATCAGAGGGTTGAAAAGACTGTAAAGTCTGATGTTATTGCAACAGTTCATCTGAAAATACGGTTAATTGCAAACAATGTGGGTTTTTGGGTGGCTTTTGAACCACAGCAAATCCAACCGTACCATTCAACAACCAATGACTCGATCAATCGTAATCATACTGGAAAAAAATAATTGTAAAAAATCCAATAAAAATGTTGGGAAGTTTACCGGATATTTTGACATGAAAATACACACAGAGTTTTATGCCTTTCTTTCCTTATATTGAGTACTAATAAGTAAGAATAGTGAATTTTGCTCTGTGAAGAGGCATACAAATCAGAAGAATGCAAAATATGGCTAAATAGGTCAGCGAATAGAGCACTTGAACGGTGATTCAGAGGTTGTCTGATCAAATCTCACTCTAGTGAATTTCTATACTAATCTGCTTAAAAACGCTAAGACAAAGAGATACGACTTTTCTCGTCACTGTTGCTTGGCAACAAGCTGTCAAAAAACAAATTCTGATTCTGATTGATTCCTCTGTCTCAGATCAAACTTAGAAATATGGTGACTCACGGGGATGGGTAGCAGGAATGTCTTGCACTGCTGGTGAAGATGCCTTTTCTAAAATTATGAAGAAGAAAAAGTAAAACAGATTAGTCTCCAATCCAGCCACTGTCAACTTTGGAAACCAGTTACAGTCTTTATTTTTCAAAGAGGAGTCTAAGAATCATTGACACATGTGCACTATGATCATTGACTAAACCTGGTTGTAGAAAAAGCAGTTGATTGAAAGAACTGATGAAATTGAAACATAACAGCATGGCTGATCATCAAAATAAATATTACTAATTGTATTTAAAAAAAAACCAAAAAACTATATAGACCATTTGCAAGTTGCGCAATGACAGCAGGCAGGTTTTATTTAAATTTAGTTACAATACAAGCACAAAGTACCTAATCAAGTGTATCCATTGATCTCCATTAGTAAGACTGGATAGGACACGCGTACACTTGCACGCAGTGAAGATTAGGAAAACGTGGACAGAAACAGCTGGGTAGTACAGTGCGGGTTTAATGTTTGCAACCGCGCTTGCGTGACGTGCGCACGCTGCATGGTCTGTGTGTGACGAACGCATTCCAAACTTTCAAACCCTCACCGATGACTACGCATACGAGCACAAGATGGAGGGCGCTGTGTCCTATCCTGTCTTCTTAATGGAGACCAATGAGTGTATCACACAGAAACACACATTTACTTATTCCGTAGTTGTGGGGACTTACACTCGTCGCCACAAGGTATTTGTGGGGACCGAAAATGCTATGGGGACAGCAGAAAGTCCCCATAACTCGGTCCTAATATTTGCCTAACAATAAAAAACTTCGCATAACGCAGTGTATGCCTACCCAGACTTACCCACTGTCATGGCACACCATGCAAAGGGTGTCTTAGGCTTTTATACCTTACCTGAAACTTGGGGCTTCCCATCGTCCACATTTGATTCTGAAAATGAAATATTAAATGTACCTGCATTATAGTCTGGCCGCACTAAATAGTACACTGGGACATTGAGTAGGATTTTCCAACAGCAAAATTTTTAAAGTTTTTGCTTGCACATACCTTTGCTCTGTATGCTTGTTATTCCAAAAAGATCAAGATCAATATCAAAGAAGCTATGAAAGGTAAATCGCAAAGAAGTAACGCTTGTCAAGTAGACAGACACTTTTTTTCTTACCATAATTCAAGGCAAGATGAACAAATTAAGTAAATTCTATTCAAATTATTATTTAATACTGGCATCAATGTAATAATATTGAGTGATCATGCAAGCAAACTTTCCACATCGTTAAGCAATTATAGGGTGGAGGATGCCATAAACATAAATGTCTGTCACTGGGACAGAAGAAAACAGTTTCAATTTTGTTTAATCCATGAAGATCCTTTCTAACAAATGACAATAGTAATTAAAGGCTCTAAACTCCAGTCCATCTTTTGCTCAACTGTTCAATCGTCTGAAGAACTTGACATGAGGAAATACTGAAATCTTCTTTGACATAACGTTTGTTACACAGGCAGACTTTGATTATCATTGTTTTTTTTTAATGGAAGTCCAAGAATCATTCCGTTACCAACTGACGCATGCACACTATGGTCATTGACTAAACCTGGTTGCAGAAAAATACTGGTAGCTGGTACAAAACTCTTGCTACCAATGGGGGCTACCTGAGCAGTATTGCGCTCGGAATGATACATGTACTTGTACATGTTCATACGATGCAGTGTTTGCTCCGATTCCAATTAAGTAAGCAAGTAAGATACCTCGGAATGGTATATACCGGTGCGATACGATGGTTGCTCCAGTTCAAAGTGAGGGAGATACTCGCTGATCATCAATTAAAATTAACATCACTGATCTTATTTGTCAAAAAATACTAAACACAATGTAAATGTATGTAAGGATCTATAACTTACCCAGAACTTGGGCGTGAATATGTATAAGGTAAAGTATACATGTAGGCTTCATAATTTATGCAGAACTTGGGTGTGAATATGAATGAAATATAGTATTAGGCTTTATAACTTACCTGGAACAGTGGGGAGCTCATCATCCAAGTTTGTTTCTGAAAAGAACATAATATTCAATGTACTGCATTTGCCTTTACAGTAAAAATAGCACTGCACTGTGAAAAGAGGCATACAATCAGAAGAACGCAAAATATGGCTTAATAGCTCAGTTAATAGAGCACTGGAATGGGGATTCAGAGGTAACCGTTCAAATCTCACTCTAATTCTTCACTTATCTGCTTAAAAACAAATCAAAGACAAAGAGATACACATTTTCTTGTCTGTGTTGCCTCGCAGCAAGCAGCCAACAAAAAAAAAGAAAATATTCTGATTCTGATTAATTCCTCTGTCTCAGATCAAAATATAAAATATGCTGACTCACTGGGATGGGTAGAAGGAATGTCTTCAACTGCTGGTGAAGATGTCTCTTCTAAAATTATGAAGAAGAAAAAAGTAAAACAGATTAGTCTCCAATCCAGCCACTGTCCACTTTAAAAACCTGTTTACAATCTTTATTTTTCAAAGAGGAGTCTAAGAATCATTGACAAATGTGCACTATGATCATTGACTAAACCTGGTTGTAGAAAAAGTAGTTCATTGATAAACGAAAATAAACAAGCGTTAGATTTTTGATAGAAATGAAATATATCAGCATGGCTGATCATCAAAATATTTGTAAAAAAAAATATATAGACCGTTTGCAAGGTGCGCCATGACAGCGAGTAGGTTTTATTTAAATTTAGTTACAATACAAGCACAAAGTACCTAATCAAGTGTATCACCCAGAAACAAATACCTGCCCACTGTCATGGCGCACCATGCAAAGGGTCTCTTAGGCTCTATAACTTACCTGCAACTTGGGGCTTCCCATCGTCCACATTTGATTCTGAAAATGAAATATTAAATGTACCTGTAAAACGGTCTGTCCATACTAAATGTTTCAACTGCGTATCATTGAGCACGATTTTCCAACAGCAAAATTTTTTAATTTTTTGCTTGCACATACCTTTGCTCTGTATGCTTGTTATTCCAAAAAGATCAAGATCAATATTAAAGAAGCTATGACAGGTAAATCGCAAAGAAGTAACGCTTGTCAAGTAGACAGACACTTTTTTTCCTATCCATAATTGAAGGCAAGATGAACAAATTCAGTAAATTTTATTCAAATTTTATATTATACTGGAATCAATGTTAATATTTAGTGATCATTCAAGCAAACTTTCCACATCGTTAAACAATTATAGGGTGGAGGATGCCATAAACATAATGTCTGTCACTGGGACAGAAGAAAACAGTTTCAATTTTGTTTAATCCATGAAGATCCTTTCTAACAAATGACAATAGTAATTAAAGGCCCTAAACTCCAGTCCATCTTTTGCTCAACTGTTCAATCGTCTGAAGAACTTGACATGAGGAAATACTGAAATCTTCTTTGACATAACGTTTGTTACACAGGCAGACTTTGATTATCATTGTTTTTTTTAATGGAAGTCCAAGAATCATTCCGTTACCAACTGATGCACGCACACTATGGTCATTGACTAAACCTGGTTGCAGAAAAATACTGGTAGCTGGTACAAAACTCTTGCTATCAATGGGGGCTACCTGAGCAGTATTGCGCTCGGAATGATACATGTACTTGTACATGTTCATACGATGCAGTGTTTGCTCCGATTCCAATTAAGTAAGCAAGTAAGATACCTCGGAATGGTATATACCGGTGCGATACGATGGTTCCTCCAGTTCAAAGTGAGGGAGATACTCGCTGATCATCAATTAAAATTAACATCACTGATCTTATTTGTCAAAAAATACTAAACACAATGTAAATGTATGTAAGGATCTATAACTTACCCAGAACTTGGGCGTGAATATGTATAAGGTTAAGTTTAGGCTTCATAATTTATGCAGAACTTGGGCGTGAATATGTATGAGGTATAGAAGAGGCTTTATAACTTACTCGGAACATTGGGGTGCTCATCATCCAAGTTTGTTTCTGAAAAGAAAATAATATTCAATGTACTGCATTTGCCTTTACAGTAAAAATAGCACTGCACTGTGAAAAGAGGCATACAATCAGAAGAACGCAAAATATGGCTTAATAGCTCAGTTAATAGAGCACTGGAATGGGGATTCAGAGGTTACCGTTCAAATCTCACTCTAATTCTTCACTAATCTGCTTAAAAACAAATCAAAGACAAAGAGATACACATTTTCTTGTCTGTGTTGCCTCGCAGCAAGCAGCCAACAAAAAAAAAGAAAATATTCTGATTCTGATTAATTCCTCTGTCTCAGATCAAAATATAAAATATGCTGACTCACTGGGATGGGTAGAAGGAATGTCTTCAACTGCTGGTGAAGATGTCTCTTCTAAAATTATGAAGAAGAAAAAAGTAAAACAGATTAGTCTCCAATCCAGCCACTGTCCACTTTAAAAACCTGTTTACAATCTTTATTTTTCAAAGAGGAGTCTAAGAATCATTGACAAATGTGCACTATGATCATTGACTAAACTTGGTTGTAGAAAAAGTAGTTCATTGATAAACGAAAATAAACAAGCGATAGATTTTTGATAGAAATGAAATATATCAGCATGGCTGATCATCAAAATATTTGTAAAAAAAAATATATAGACCGTTTGCAAGGTGCGCCATGACAGCGAGTAGGTTTTATTTAAATTTAGTTACAATACAAGCACAAAGTACCTAATCAAGTGTATCACCCAGAAACAAATACCTGCCCACTGTCATGGCGCACCATGCAAAGGGTCTCTTAGGCTCTATAACTTACCTGCAACTTGGGGCTTCCCATCGTCCACATTTGATTCTGAAAATGAAATATTAAATGTACCTGTAAAACGGTCTGTCCACACTAAATGTTACAACTTTGATCATTGAGCACGATTTCCAACAGCAAAATTTTTTTAATTTTTTTGCTTGCACATATCTTTGCTCTGTATGCTTGTTAAAGGGAAGATACAACATTTGCAAACATCAACAGATGAAATAGTCAAATTATCACAAAATACCTTACTGGATTGTTAGGGAATGACAGTCTAAAGCATCCTGTACAATCGTGGCTCCTGGTGTGCTGACATTTTCAAGAAAAACTCCATTTTTCCAACACAAACTGGCTTTTTTCAAAAACTGCCCCTAATTTTTCATATTTAGTTATTCCGCAATAGATTACACATCTGTGAAGGGGTACAAGCCAGCTAGACTGATTCTTTCACTTTACAATTCCCCCAGTCTATAAATCGCTCCATTTCATCTTCAGTGGGATCTGGGAGCCAGAGTACAAGAACATGATTGGTTTTCTTAGTTTTTCCAGCATCTACGATCCCATAACGTGAAACAAGTCATTTTTAACAATATTTGCTATAACATACTTATTCTCCAAATCCATTTATTACTGAATATTGCAGCAAAAGCAAAATGTTGTACATTCCCTTTAATCTAGAAAATTCACGATCAAGAAGCTATGAAAGGTACATGTACATCGTAAAGATGTAACGCTCGTCAAGTGGACAGACATTTTTGTTCCTAATAATTTCAAGGCAAGATGAACAAATTTAGTAAATTTTATTCAAATTATTATTTAATACCATCAATGTTAATATTGAGTGATCTTTTAAGCAAACTTTCCACACCCTTAAGAAATTATAGGGTGGAGGATGCCTGGTGAACATAATGTTTGTCACTGGACAGAAGGAAACAGTTTCAATGAGTTTCAAACAGTTTTTTTTAATCGATGAAGATACTTTCTCACAAATAAGAATAGTAATTAAAGGCCCTGTTAACCCAAATCCTTCTTTTGCTCAACTGTTCAATGGTCTGAAGAACTGACATGAGGAAATACTGAAATATTCTCTGACATAACGTTTGTTACCCAGACAGACTTTGATTATCATTGTTTTCCAAGAAGTCCAAGAATCATTCTGTTACCAACTGACGCATGCTGACTAAACCTGGTTGCAGAAAAGTAATGGTAGCTGCGGGCACGCAGGGCAAGGGTTTTGCTTTGTGAAATAGCAGGTAAAAAACTCTTGCTATCAATGGGGGCTACCTCAGCAGCATCGTGCTAGAAATGATACATGTACATGTATACAATGCGGTGTTTGCTCCGATTCCAGTGAGACACCTCGGAACAATGTGAGGGTTGCTCCGGTTCAAAGTGAGTGAGATACTCGCTGATCATCAATTATTCATTGATGATATTTGTCCAAAAAACTACACAGTGTAAATGTATATAAGGATCTACAACTTACCCAGAACTTGGGCGTGAATATGTATGAGGTATAGTATAGGCTTTATAACTTACCCAGAACCTATGTGTGAATATGTACATGTATGAGGTACGCTATTGTAAAGGCTTTATAACTTACCGGTACCTGGAACTTGGGGATGCTCATCATCCAAGTTTGTTTCTGAAAAGACATTTGTATAAAATGTAATTACATTTGTTTATACACTGTAAATAACACTGAAAAGAGGCATTTACAAATTAAGAGAGCACAAACATACATGTAATGGCTAAAAAGGTCAGTTAATAGAGCACTACCATTTTGAATTCAGGAAAAATTGACTGGCATTAGACAGACCAATCACAGGGCACTTTGATTGGTCACCTGGATTGGTGACCAATCAAAGTGCCCTGTGATAGGTCAGGTGACAAATTAACAACAAGGCGTGTGTGACAAGGATGTTTCCTGAATTGAAGGTGAAATTTCTCTTTTCTTCCCGAAGGTATGTGAACCTAACCACTACCATTTGTATTTTCAATTCCCACAGGGGAATCAGGCAGTTTGAGGACAGTTTTGGGGGTGAAATCTGAAGATTTTGATAGGGGGTACGAGTGAAAATGGTCAAAATAGGTTATTGGTATTGACATGTACTCTAAGATCCTAGGACCCTACTCGCCCGACAAGCTCCAAGTGTAAAAAAGGCGATTCGTAGAGTAAAGGCCTATTACTCGGACTACACAATACTCACCCATTATACTAATGAAAATAATTTTTAGTCTGGTCCTCAAGTACTCCACTGCGCACACTGCATTGATGTCTATCAGGTTCTTAACCGCATTGTTTATTAGACTTGTCACCAGTCCATCCATTATTGTAAATTAGGGCCTATAATGTGACCCGTTCTGTCAAAATCAGACTTTTCTGGGCATAAGGTCGAAAATGATATTTTTACATGTTGTTAACATGTTCTTTTTCCTTTTTAAAGGTGGTTTAATTTTTGAAGCCGGTCATTCCTGGGCAGAGTTATGCTATTTTGAAGTTCATTGTGTCGAAAAGTAGAAAACGGAGAAAATGGCCACGAACGTCACAAAACAGTTATTTCTTTAACTGATATACCTTATCAAAATCATCAAAAATAGTATATGTAGAGTTCAAATTAGGGTTTCAAACTTTTTTAATATATTTTAGACATGTGCAGGATTACAAATATGCAAAAATTTGAAAATCGATAAAAATCACCCCCACAGCGTTTTTTGGCCCTATCTCAATTTCAACCTCTGCCCAGAAGCGTCTGCTTTTGACAGAACAGGTCACATATTTCGCCAAAAGTTTTCGGGCAATATTACGAAAACAGAAAACACTGGAAATCCAGAATCCAGAATCCGCATACAATTCCGCAGACGTTAGATCAAAATTCCGGAAATCTGGAAAAATCCGGACAAATCACACCCCTGAATATATGGTGAACTATAAAGTGAGATACTTTGCGTTTATGCTCTACCTGGGAGTAAATTGGTTTGTGTGATGACATACAATAGCTGATGTTGTGAGGGAGTTGAGGTTTCAAGATTTTGTCTGAGCATTTATACATAGACCAGGTGTAAAGCAGATCTCAAATTGCACTACATGTATAGTGCTGATGATTGTCTATCTTCAACAAACCTCTTGGAGCGAATCTACTCTGAGGATTTCCCATTATTGGTCAGACTAGGACCATGTTCCAACACAAGCATACTACTTCCTGCAGATAGATAAAAACAAAACCAAAACCGACAATGAGTGACAACGATCAATGCAGAAAAGACGACAATATACATGTAGCAAAATGGATGCAAGGGCGGATCGGGGGGGGGGGGGGGGGGGGGGGCAACGGGGGCCTTCGTACAACATTATATTTTCCTCAAAAACAAAATTGGTCAAAGTGGTCAGAAATTGCCTCAGATTGCACCACAGAGCATTTAGAATCCAAAAACATTTGGGGCCTCGAACCCTACGCCGTTATTTTGTGATCCACTTTTTTGGGGGACCAAAGTTGGGGGGGGGGGGCACAAAAAATGTGTTCTGGATCCGCCCTTGCATGGATGCTGTGCCCATGATACATGCAGCATTTGTCTGTGAGCAATCCGTTTATTTCACATTGGTATGTTTTAATATGAAGCCATTATGTCTCCGCCATTTTGTATCCATGAGGGTCAGTGCTGGAACTGCTGCACATCCATGACCTCTTGTTATACTCCATTTAATTATTGCACTTCCATACTAGGGTACCCACCGTATTCAAATTAAATGGTAGATTTGCAATATTGCCTAATACCTGTGCTATTTTTATTAGAAAGAAAACAGATCAAATGTAAACCAAGATACAATTTGCTGAAAAGCACCATGTGTATGGCTTAGGAGATGCCTGCCTTGGATAGGCAAGAATTGGCAAGCCTTGCAAACCTAGTCCGGATCAGTCAAAGTCTTAGTCACAAGTGACAGTCAGTCAGTCAGTCAGTTACTTGTAGTTATGATTGCAGCAGACAGGGCAGCAACGGAGATCAAGTCCGTTACTGTTTGGATACAATGACGGAATAGTTGATGCATGAAAAAGTGATTTGGTTTGTGGATTACCAAGAACAATCCACAAACCAAAGTTGAAGTTCATATGTTAAGTATTTCTCAAGTTATCGCGCTGACATGATTTATCCGGACACACACACACACAAACGCACCCACACCCACACCCTCTCAAATTTGTATCCTTGTGGAGACATTCCTTTGTTCTCGTGTAGTAAAGTGTTCAATTTTGAAAGTGAAGTTTTAAAATGCTCTTATTTTAACCAGAATTAGTTTCCTTGGCTGAAATTTGGACTTAATATCCCTTTTCTAAAACTCTTTCATTTGCGACAGATCAACCCACCTTGGAAATTCCTAGTTTTTGAGTAAAACCCATATTTCTATTTCGTGAAAACCTTGTGGAGACCTATTCATGTATAGAAATTGCCCTGTGGAGACCTTTACAATGTTTTGTTCCCTATTGTGTGTGTGTCTCCACAAGGATACAAATTTGTAGTCACCCACACACCCACCCACGGAAGGACAAGGCGGAAACAGTATGCCCCTTCGGCTTCGCTGCGGGGCATAAAAATCATAGGGCCTATCACTAACAATCATACTTAATTTGAACCGGCCAGACAAAAAGTAAACAAACAAAACATTTCAAACCATCCCTTTGACACTCTTCACATCCAGTAATTACACTTAATTACCTGCATGGAGCCAACTTTAAGAGTCCTTTGATAAAAATATCATGTTTTATGTTCTCTTTATGAGTAATAAAATGGACCAATTCCAAGGGCCAGTTGTTTGATAAGTTACTAGTCCATATAAGGCAAGCATGTGACCGTATGATATTAGACAGAGCCTAGGCATGACCAATCCCCCCCCCCCCACGTAGCCACTCCCAATGTGCCTCTGTGACTCATACCTCTCAGTCTCGCAAGCTCAAAATGTTTGAGGAAACTACAGGAAATCAAACAGATTTCACACAGAAATCACAAACCCTGACAATTTGGGTCTTTGATTGTATATTTTTTGTAGAGTGTCATTATATGTAATTTTGTGTGTAATGTGACAGGTTTTTTTCTTCAAAATCGAAAGACGCCCAGAATAATTACACTACAGAAATAAACAAAGTACTTCAGGATTTTATCTTTGAACCAAATCGAAAGAAATAGGTCGAACGCACTGTGCAGTGATACCCCGCCCCCTCACTACACACACTCTTTATCTTAGCAGTATGACCTTAAACTATTATTAGGCCAACATCATGCCAAATTTTATAGGCCCAAATTATTTCTATGCACATGTACATGTATAACTCTACGGATTCAATTCCTGGGTTCTGTTGTTATGATAGCTTAAATCGTTGCTATGACGTCACACTACTGTTAAAAGTGTGGATTCGGATCTACGAATCTGTTAGACTGGTCACAAAGTGTGGATTCGGAACGACGAATCTTTAGTAAAGTGTGGATTCGGAATTACGAATCCACACTTTGAACACGTCGACCAATTGTTCTCCATAATGAGCGTGAATAGGACTGTCTGTGTGAAAATTTGCTTTCCGAAAATTACCAATGCATCTTCACTGTCAGATTCTCTGCCGTCACTGCAAAATATACTTTTATTCAGAAAGAAATCGTCGTCTGAACCATCCATTTTGACGCAAGGAGCCTACACATAAAATGACTTGGTTGTACGGGTGTGGCGATACACATGCTAACACGCCAGAAAAAAAAATGTTGCAACCTGACGCCACTTTTGCGCTTGTGTACAAAGTCTTTAGAGGTCATTTCAAGTATTTCCTAACAAAATTGGAAACATTTCTCAGTCCCAGATTCATGTCTAATCATCATTTTTGCAACAAATGACCTTCATTGAGATGATATATATATGAAGAAAAAAGTGGCGTCAGGTTGCAACATTCTTTCCATTACTTCTGTTGACGCAATGGTTTAATTCGAAGAATACACTCTTAATTTACGAACTCACTCGGCGCTTGGCATGCTTGGCGCCTCATGAATTCTTAAATTACGAATCAACACTTTCTCGTGTATTCCCCTTAACCTAAAACAACTACCATTGGTTTATCTTTCTTGAAGTTTATTTTTGCCAGATTTAGATTGTCTCTCTGAGCTTAACAACTAGCCAGTAAATCAAACGTATTTGAGAACCAGGAAAATTAGGACGAATAGGGGGCAATTTGTGTGGTGTTAAAACAAAACACATTTTTTACAAAATTTTACTATTTTTATAAGTAAAATTGCAACATGGTGTGAGACAAAATCACACCATTCCACTCAAAGAAATTGATGTTGTGTTAAACTATAGATAGTCCATGTATGTTTCTTTTTGCCCAAACTTTGGTAAGCTACATTTGTACATTGCAGGGGCATCGACTACTTTATTGCGGAAATGAACTAGTCTGTCAATATAAATCGAAACCTGCAAAACAGATCTGATAAAGTGACACCAAATTCATTTGCTTTTTGAAAGAAGAATTGTAATTGTATTTCAAAAAAGATTGGAGTATAAAGTAGGGATTTTAGCAAAATAATTAAGAAAAAAACCCAAAAAACAATTGCAGGATTTTAGAGGGCTACTTCATTTTTTCCCACTCAGAAAATTGCTTCAACTGATTTCTGACATTTTTTCCCATAGGATTTTCTGGTTGCCTCCACCATAGAAATAACCTCTTTTTTTTGTAAAGCATGAATTTTTTTGTGAGGGGTTGAGGGAGGGGTTGGTTATCGTTTCAATACTGCATAGTTTGTTACATACAGAGAGACATCTCTTATGGGGAAAATGACACTCCGCCCAAAACCAGGCACATTGAACAATGGTGTAATAACCTGCTCCCACAAAAAAAAGACTTTGATAGTAATATCCAAACAATGGATTATTGTATACTGCAATTTTTGTCCATACTCCAAACCAGTTTAAACACAGTGTTTAAAACTGGCAAGGCACCTATTTATTCCGTATAATGCACACAAGGTTTACTTATGCCTATGATACAAAACCATTGCATACTCTGCAGTAATGCATAGGGTTATATTCTTGCTGCCCATACAGATTCCTGCTTTGCTGTTGAGGGGGAACAAGAGGGTACCACAAAAGTCTCTCTGGTTATTTAATACACGAGTAGGGGGCCTACGTGAATATCAACTGTCACCCTGATGCCACACTGTGAAGAAGACGTTTCAAATACAAACTTGTTCAGAATCGTGTAACTAATGAACTACGATATTTTCATTTCTTCGATCAGAAAATCAACTGTGGTTTGTCACTTAGGGACTACATGATTTTGAACTTGTACCATATGGAATGTCTTCCTCACAGTTTGCAATCAGGGTATTGATAGACATTCATGTACTTGCATAATTAAGGCAATTTACAACTCTTACCTTCTTGAGCAAAATGGAGGGCTATACACTCTCAAGTATGCAAAAACTCCCAGTACAAATCAATGTTATAGGACAACTCAATGTTAGCGAGCAGACTTCATAAATGAAGGCATGCAAAGGCTGAATGCCACGTCGTCAATCTGATGAAACCCTCGCGTGAAAAATCTTATATATGATGGCTTTGGGTATCAAAATGTGCATGCTGAATGTGCACATGATCTCTTTGTGCCGCACCCACTCGATATCCACCAATGAAACTGATGGAATTGTTAAGGTCATCGTTAAATAAAGATGCTTATCACCAGCCAGTCGCGTGATACCCAGGGGTCCAGGTCTCTGATTGGACGGCGCATTCCCTCAGCCAGTTGCATGATACCCAGGGGCCCAGGTCTCCAATTGGACTGCGCATTCCCTCAGCCAGTTGTGTGATACCCAGGGGCCCAGGTCTCCAATTGGACTGAGCATTCACTCACTCCCTGGATGTTGCATCGTTCAACAATTACGTGACTTGGGTTCGTTTTAGGTTCAAGTTGATGGTGTATACATGAAAGGCTTGATTGACAGGGTCAAAGGTTCCTATTCTGCAATGCTACATCACGCCACCACCAGATTCCTACATCATCAGGGATATAGTACATGTACATTTGTACCCATCAACAAAGTACAAGTTTAACTTTTAATCCATTGGTTACACACCTATGTTCCGACACACCTATGTTCCGACACACCTACCGGTACATGTATGTTCCGACATATCTAAGTTCTGACATACCTATGTTCCGA